AAATGATATCACGAAATTGAAGATCCAAAATTTAAATTATTTTTATCATATATGCACGAGAATGACTATTCACATTCATTGTAATGTGATTGCATTCTGGAAAACTGACCACAACAAACCAAACAAATGATAATTAATTAATAGTCATAAAACTGTATGTGTCAAAAAAAAATCTCTGACGAGCAAAGAGATCAGTGAAAATTATTTGATTATTTCATTCAAAAGTAAATATTTTTATAGAAAAAATAATTATTTACATGAATTAATTGAATGTCATATTACAACTAAGCACGTTCATTAGATATTTGATCACAGATTGAGAGTTTCAATTCAAATTATTTGATTATTTCCTTTCCCATTCAAGAAAATAATAATTTTATACTTGGAAAATGAGCGAAAACAGGCGGAAAAAATTAATTATTTTTATAAGAAAAAATAATTAATTACTCGATCGAATTGAATATCAATGTTCATTAGAAATTTGAACGCATATCAGAAATTCTATGGAACCATCGGATAACACTCTTATGGAGTTATCCATAACTTTATGTATTAACATGTGTCCAATGTGTATTTATTGCAGAACACGTGTCGATACACCATTTGTGGATAATTATGAATGACTCCATAAGTCGAATTATCCGAGAGCTCCATAGCAAAACTGAATTCTTTAAATGTGTAAATGACAATAGTGTGACAGTGATTAAGGGCCAGATGAATGGGAATAAATATTAATTACAGCTTGGAATAATTGTCCCTTTCTTCTTCTTAAGCTCCCGACATGGAAGGCATATATTAGTGGTTTTAGTGGGATCTTTGGGACCAGTTTGCTTTCAATCTAGTCAATTAAAAATTCTTTTTTTTTTGTTTTTTATTTCTTTTATTTTTTTAATAGCATTATTATTAGTCACCATCTTTTCTTTTCATCTTTATTGGGTACCTATATATTTTGAAATGCTGGGGGTGACTGGGTATTGATTATTTTAAAAAAAAAAAATATGACTGAAAAAAGTGGATAAAGAATAGGAAAAAGTTTTTGGTGGAAGAATAAAATG